GGAGGGGGGGATCCGGGAGGGCGGGGCCGTCAGCCTGTGGCTTCTAGGGGGTGGGGGGACACGCCCTGTACCCCAGGCTGGCCGTGAACTCGCCCTGTACCCCAGGCTGGCCGCGAACTCGCCCTGTGCCCCAGGCTGGCCGCGAACTCGCCCTGTGCCCCAGGCTGGCCCCGAACTCGCCCTGTAGCCCAGGTGTCCCCAGATCGTAACCCCCAGAGAGACCACCAAGGACGAGCACACCAGAATGCAAACACCAGAATGAAAAGCAAGGTTTACCTGTTACAAGTCATGACGGGGAACTCGACTCCAGTCATCTCAAGTGAGGCAGGGAGGAGCCCCTCTTTCTTGGGGAAGTTAGTTTTTATAGGCAAAACCCATAAAGTTTCTCAGAGGGGCGTGGTTAGTACGTGTCCATCCTTGATTGGTCCAGTTTTTCCCGGGCCTGGACTTTATCTTATTCTAGCTTATCTGTTTGCCCTGTCCAGAGTTTTACAACTCCTCTCCGGGGTCTGGTCATGTTATCTCCGGAGAGGGGCATCTTGTGGTTAATTGGTTACCATCAGACATCCTGACTTTGTTCTTTTGTTCCTGGGGCTGGCGCCATCATTTCTGGGGACTTGAAACTGGCCTGGGTCTATCTATATTGAGATATCTTTGTCTAAGGCCCCCTTTTTGAGGGTCTTGTTGTGCCTAGATCACGTCCCCAAAGCCACCACTGGAGACTTTAGGTACAGAATGCAAAAGTAAGGTGTTAAGTTTACAAGCCTCCAGGGAGGCTCTTCCAGATCTCTCACTCACAGCAGGGAGTTTGGAAGGAGCACTCCCCTTTCTTTGTAAGGCTAGTTCTTTTTTTGTTGTTGTTTTGTTTTTGTTTTTAAGATTTATTTATTTATTTATTTATTTATTTATTTATTTATTATGTATACAATGTTCTGTCTGCACATAACCCTGCAGGCCAGAAGAGGGCGCCAGATCTCATCACAGATGGTTGTGAGCCACCATGTGGTTGCTGGGAACTGAACTCAGGACCTTCAGAAGAACAAGCAGTGCTCTTAACCTCTGAGCCGTCTCTCCAGCTCATGAGGCTAGTTCTTAAAGGCACAGACCATATAATTTATTTTAACCCGCCTCCCTTTTTAGTCTTT